GCGCTCAAATCACAAACATGTTGACTCCCTGCAGCTGCATGCACACAGCTGTGCTGCAAGGTGTAGCAAATACATGTACTGTGCCGGTGTATGCACGTATGCATCATGTTCCTAAATGAGGGTGACGGCTGCCACAGAAGCATGCAGGGGACACTGGTCAAGTGGTGCGTTCTGTTGCTGGTGAGGACTCGGTAGGCATGGCTGCTGCCGGCCTTCTCCGCACGCATGCACAGCCCTTGCCGAGGTGACCAAGATGCTATTCTGAGAAATCGTGGGTAGCGGCCCAAGTCACCGAGGGGAGCAGGGAGCAGCACCACCAGACAAAGGATTCCCTGGTACGCCGCCAGGTGACGTTGGGTTCGAATGTGAATGACAGATGGATCGTGCTGCAAATGATTCATGAAAAGGGACAAATCCCGCCTGTGCTGCTGTGAAGAACATGCTCGCGACGGCCCGAGTGCGTCAGCGGCAGAAGTAGATGGTAAAGGTGGGCCCACTCGACATGTCTGAAGCTTCCTCGTGGTGGTGATTTCGGCTGGGTTCACGACTCACCCGTGGCCGACCGTCATCAGTGCTACGACTCGCCCTTGACTGCCCCAAATAGTCACCACTCCGTTACTCGGTAGAGAATCTGCCTGGAAGGATCACGCTCCTGACACCAACGACTGACAAGCACACTCACGGATCACGGCTGTTGAAGAGGCCACTCTGATGATCGCCCGTCACACCCGAACGCAGTTCACTCCGCCTCTCCAACCATTTCCGCTCAGCAGGTACTGATTCACAAACGTCCACTTGCCCTCTTCTCGACATACAACCTTGCACCATCTGTCCCACCAACTCTAAGCTTTTGACACTATGCGTAGCGCAGGCATATCCGTCTTTGTCGTCGTTTTGACCACGGCGCTCGCTTCAGCAGCTGCCAATGCCTCGTCTTCAAACCCTGAGCCTTCCGCCGAGGTTCCCAAAATCCACATTGGTACGCCAGTCAATTTGGATCAAGACAGCGCGTCTCCCGAATTGAACGACAATGTAGCGGCCACAGACATTCCCAAGGTGCATCTCGGCATCAAACCGAATCAAGCGTTGCATTTTGACTCTCCTAAGGTACACGTCGGTACGCCTGCTCAGGGAAGCACGGCTGCTTCGGACCCTTACAGGAGAAGATCTCGCTGTAGCAAGCGATCCATGTCGAGGAGACACGCAGACCACGTCGAGGGAGAGAACAAGATGCTTGTCCGACCGAATTTTTGGGCA